ATTTCCCAACAGACCGAGCTTACCGAAAAGCCAAACGCAGCTTAATTTGATCATCCACGTACACCTGCATAAGATTAACTCTTGTACGTGCGCTTTCTTACGAGGTAGTCGTCGCGAACCGACCTATTGACGAAGATTAAACGGACGCTTCAGGGAGGTCCAGAGAAGGAATCTCGTTGGAGACAATGGAGCAATTCAAGTATTGAGAGGAAAAGTGGATTAACCTCGATATTCAACAAACTGATTGCGAGTCGTTCGAAAGCGAGTCTCTAGACGTAAGTAAAATTTCGGTTACTTGCTGAATTCATACCGTGAAAGAGGATACATTTTGCCAAAGTTGTACTTGAATTCATTCCATGAATACTAGAACTATCGGCGTGTACAGTGTACAATCTTTTTTCTTTTTTCTTTTAAAGTTTTCATTGCTATTTTGTCTAAAATCGTACAACATTGAATTATTAAAATCGTACTGCACGATATCTGACAATACCAATATCTTCGATACGGAACAGCAGCGGAAAAACGTGATTTTATCAATTACAAATGGGAATTGCGACTATCAGCAGGCTCTGGGAATATTTAATTCGATAAAAACACCAAATGAAAATTAAATTCTATTTATCCAACAGCACAGCCTATCAATTATGGCGATATCGATGAAATTTTTGTACGTTCCAGGGAAAATACAATTTCGTTCGATCTCTTGTAAATACGAGACTCGTGGTACAAGCGAAACAAATTTCACAAAAATTGGGACAGTGGGTGATATGAAATTCCAGCGATATTCATCACGGAGGAGAAGGAAAGACCGACGCTGATGATCTTTGTTTAACGAAATCGTCAAACTCGTTCGCGTCTATGAGCGAAAGCAATTTATTTGCAGAGAACGCGCGGAAGATCGACGGGCGAAAAGCGACATTTCCGGTGGAACACTATAAAGCGGCTGGCAATAACGTGGTATAGTGAAACAGTCCCGATGCCGAGTTATCGCGCTTACGCTCGCACGTTTTATTTATTGCGATCGCGTTCCGCGTAGCCCAGACTAATTAATATCTCCGATATGCAGATTTCCGGTGGCTGTATGGTGGTTTAGCCCAAACGAAACCCACTCGTGTATTCCATTAAACGCAGTTTTAGCCAACATTTTTTCCCTGCAATCTCGCGTCTCGTCGTTTTTTATACAGGGTGTTCACGAGCCGACACGTTCAAGTATACTAACGTCAAATTCAAGTATACTCGATCAATGTTTATACTCGATGTTCTCGAGTACAAAGTCTCATATGAGAAAAGATTTCGTTTCTTCGTTTCTCGATCCATTTGTAGTTGTATTTTCCATCTCACCAACGAGTTCTCCGCCTTCCAAAAACTCAAGCAGCATTCGAATATTCCAATTAGAGGGGACGAAGAGTCGTGTCGGAGCAAAGCTGCGGAAAGGGCCGGCAATTCGAGCATAAAGGAGCGAAGTTGCATCTCCAATGTTTCCAGGTATCTCTTCTGATTTGCGAGGCGGCACACGAAACGCGGCTACGTGTAACGCGTGCACGACGAGAGAAATTTCCGTGGACTGGAGGAGAAGACGGAGGAAGCGATGCCGGGGAGCCACGGGCTTGAACACCAGTGGCCGTGAATGAGAGCTACGTATATTCAGCCACCTGTAGCAAGATATTGCTTCTGCCTTATCGTAAAGCAAGATGGATGGAAAATAAACTGCAAGGCCGCGTATGTGTTCCGATTCGGTTGTGACTGAATGGAGAAAGCCAAAGAAAGGGAGGGAGAGAGAGATTCAGATAAAGATAGATAGATAGATATAGATAGGGGATGGAGGTGGAGAACAGACTGGCCGCGCACCGAGATTCAATTACCCCGGAAGAAGACCAGAATTTTGTATCATTCCCGAGGCACGGCTACAGATTTTCAATGAATCTTGTCTGATTGTACGTGATCGGTAGGCCGAGTTAGTTACACGACCGAGTCCGACCAATTGCCTCCATTCCTACCCTGTCTTCTCCAACCCCCGTCGTTTGTTCATCTTTGCCATCGCTTCCTTCCTGTTTCCGTTGACTGGCCTTTCCGTTTTTTTCTCCTTCCTCCTCCCCCGCCCACTCTTCCCACCTCTCCCTGCGTTTCGCTTGACTGGCTAATTTGTCAGCTATCGACAATATGCCTAGGGAATGTTACGATCGCTAGTTCTTGGTAGCAACGATAAATAGCAACGCTCTTTGCGTCAAAGGTGCAGGTTATTATCCGAGGTAAATTTGTTGGTTTCTTGCTACCGTGACAGTTTAATTACGTTCTAATCGACAGTCGATACGAACGCTGAGGTTTTTGGTTACGTGAATGATACGCGAGTCAATTAACGCGGAAAGGAGTACGTACCTTTCTAGTTGAAAGCTGTACAAGGACGAGAGGAGAGAGAGGAGATTTGTAAAAATCTCTTGGAGATGGAAAGTATAAAATTAATGAAAAATACTACAGACATTGAAACTTATACAAACGCCATGGAATAGAATTCTGCAGAGTGCTAATATTTGTCGCGCAATCGCCAAAGTTAGATGAAATTAACAACAAGGAATAAATGTAAAATGTAAAATAACTACATTTTTAAAAACGAATGAAGATTGTGAAAATTTTTACTGTGCCTAACATTTCCTCGACTGTTACTTCGAAATTTAAGAAAGATTTAACGAGCAAACGTAACATATACACGTCGGCCGTAACAGTGGCAATATAAAATTAGGTTAATTCGGTGGGCAGCGATTTATTAATGTAGCAATGTTGGAATTAAGAAGCGCGTTTCAGCTGATTACACTTACAATTTTTCATCCCCTGTGAAATTAACGTTTCCCAGACGCACGATGCTGGATATTCTTCCGCGGCCGCGCTTTTATCGTTCCAGGCTCTGCGCAACTTTATTCCCCGCCAAGGGTGACATAAAAAAAAAAAGGGATTTGCAACGTACATATCCCTTATTAAAGCTACACGGCGATACGTTTAAATAAAACCGTATACGTTTTTCATGCTGTAAGGAAATTTTTAGAATCTGAACGAACACACGAAACGCAAGAGGAACAAAATTTTCTTATTTTACGTACACACATACACACACACACACGCGCGCGTTCGAGTACTTTATTAACGCATTTTTTTATTAAAACTTGTTTCGCCTAATTTTAATTTTCTTTCTACTGAGAGAGTGATTTCGCTGAAAATTTTAAACGGAACAACGTTTCTCTCTCTTGATTCTCGGTCTCGCTAACTTTTTAATAACATTCGAAGCTTGTTTCTAGACTGCGGATTCTGATGCATTTGCGGGAGATTTAAGGACGCAGAAATATTCAAAACGTGGAAAGTTTAGTAATTGAAACAAATTGTTCTTTGGACACTGTTTCTTTAATAATATTCACGAGAGTATGAAATCGAAAAGGGTAAAGATTTGCAGTCTACTTATTTAATTTCTCGTTTCAATACTCGTGAACGGAGCTCGTGTACTCTCGATACGAAGCAAATTCTCAAAGAACAGAAGGAACAACTGGCTGCTCGAGCAATTCCTCGGCAAAATCCACGGGCCGTTGCTTTAATTTTTCCAATTCCGTTACGCATCGTCTGAACAGTTCGACCGAAATCGAACGTTCTCGCCTGATTCCCAGGACGACATAAATTTCGAAATCACATTGACCCAGAAAGAAACTCGTTTGATCGCCTTCACCTACGCTTCGTCTCGTTCTGTGAAGAAAAAAAAAAAAATATTTTTTTTCCCCACCCATTTTCTCGTTCTGCTCGTTTGCAGCATTTGCCCAGCGCCTCGACTCGCACCGAGCGTTCCGCAACGACCTAAATATTAATGTTCGACTTTATTAGACACCGTTCTCGTCGCGTTTGTTTGCCAACGACTCGTTAAACGGCAGAGGCCGCGGTTCTCAAAGCCTCTTTGTCTCCACGGCCAGCGATTTCAGTCCTTGTTGCCATTGTGTTTTTCCAGCGACCGATACACACGCGTTCTCGTGGTCGGTTATCATTCCCAGCCTGGCTGTTTCGCGTTCTTACGACCCGACGACGTTCGTGGGAGCGCCGCCAGCTGACTGGCAATTTAAAAGACGCCGCGTGTTTTCGCGCAAATTGCTCGAGGAAAAATAACTCGAGCAAGAATAGATTGTCACAGGAACGATGAGTGAAAGTCGGTCGATCAACGATTCGCGAAAAGGACATCTTGATATCGTCAATGTCAAGGAATGCAAATTGTATTGATTGTACTTCTTTTTTTTTTTTTTTTTTTTTTTTTTGCTTCGAAAGATTTCTATAAAAATTCCCTCTTAGAAACCGTGAAGAAGATTATCAGTCAGAGATTTTTGGTAATCGCAAAGATTTTGAACTCTAAGAGTTCTATGATCTTGACAATGGTTGAAATAATTATACTTTTTTGTTGTAAAAATTTGGACTGAATTAAAAAAATGGATCTTCACCAGAGATTAACGAATAGAAATTACCAATATAAAAAAAAAAAAAAAAGGAAGAAGAAATGATATTTCGAGGAATATGATAACATCAAGGAACAGTTGCACGATAAAAATTGGAAATATTCGCTGAATTTACGAAGCATCGATCGTAGCGGCGCACCAGGTAGAATCGATCTATCATCGGCGGTTACGTAGAATTAATCACTCTTGCCGCGACTTAATTCACGTCGAAAAACCCGGCCCCCGATAATCCCGAAATTAAACTATCTTGCCGCTCTTCCGCTAAATCAATTCGTGACCGCGATAGCAAATTGTTGTTCAGTTGGCAAAATTAATTTGCGAACCGTATCGGCCGGTTATATCGAACAAATAAATTTCACCGCCGAAATTGTACAAGCGCGATTGTTTGCGAAATCGTGCATCGGGTTATTGACAGGCGAGGCCGCCGCCGCGTATTGTTTGGTTAAATCCGCGTATACCTTACGTAAGGATCACGTTATAATAGGAAGGATCACGGCGTGAAAATCAACTTTCACCCCCGGCTACCGACTATTTACTGATAAAACAAAGTTAAACGAGGCTAAAAATCATACAAATTGCCAGCCGTAAACGCTAACAGATGCGTTTTAAAGCAGGCGAGCTTTTCCGGTGACAAGGACGCGCGACGCCCACCTTTTTCCGCGTTACGTTGCAAGACAGTGTTTAGCGTGTAAACGCGTATAGCGCTGAAAGAGCGCAGAATTTTGTTTTAAAACCGTGGAGCTTCTATACGCGGTGAAATTAAATTAAATTGCGCCGTCCTCGTTTTAGAGGGGCAGATAAAGGTATTCCCCTCGCGACAACGAAGTACGCGTTTTCCGCATGGAAATAAAACTTCATGCAGCCGGTGTGTAAAGTAAACCACCCGCTCTAAGTCGAATTCTAAATAAAAATATGATACTCTTGGGCACGATGAAAAGTCTTTTATAGCGATCCAACGCATCGGTCTGGCCAATAATTAACCCACGAAACGAGAGCACTAGGCTGATCCTGACTTGCGTACACTCTCGCTCCGAAAGTTCTAGTATAGTATACTATTCCCGTGTATTTTATAATACCATTGTTAACGTATTAACTGAGTTTAAGTGTTATATAAAGTACCATTTAATTTTTTCAGTTAGAAAGTACTTAAGAAAGTAGAATAAGACCTTTGAACAGGAATATAGATGACGAATAATTTTATTCTTTATCTAAATTCACTAACTGAGCTATTTTTTTTTTTTTTTTTTTTAACCAAAGATCTGTGCAATTATAGAATCAATAATTAATAAGATAACATTGATTTTTGTAAATTTATTTTTAACCAAAAAAAGTATATTGTATCTTAAAAAGATAACAGATCTATAAGTACGGAATTAATTGCACTCGTCATTGATTAAATTTTAAAAACTTTTGCTTTGTCATTGATTAAAATTTAAAAACGGTGTAGAATAAAATATTCGACGCTCGTCACAAACGACGCAGCTTTTTATCGAGCGAGAATTAAAACGAAATAGAATTGTTCAGGCTAGTAGCCAGTATCGACAAGACAATTTCGAAGAGGCAACTTTTCTCGTTCGTACACCGTGTGCCATGTTCCAACGCATTTAATTCGGTAATTTAGCAGCGGGAGCGTTGATCGGCGCGCCGTTACAGCGTCGTTCCTCTACCTGTTTTAATGGTCCTCCACCTGTTGGCGACGCCGCTTCGAAAGTCACGTCATTCGCCATTTTCCTCTCTCCTTTTTTCACTCTAAACATTCCGAGCGAAACGTGCGAACGTTTGGACCGCGAGATAATCGCCAATCGTGGAAAACGAATTCGCGAACGTGAAAGAAAAATCCAAAACTCAAAAACCGTGTTTAGTTTCTTTCTTTCTTTCACACTTTGTTGGCACTATATATCCATTTGGACAATTTTCTTAAATTTCAAAATTTCCAGCTTGTTAAAAGTCTAAGACAGTCTACGAGATAAAATGAAACATCCAGAATTTTAGTAATTAAACGTAGATTTAATTTTAACCATCTTACCATCAACTCCAATTTCAAATAAAAAAGTATCGTTAAATTTGGAAATTATTTAATTTTAAAGTCTCTTAAAAAAATTTAACGATATTCAAGGATCAAGTACAAAGTCGTCAGTCCACGTTTTTATGGCAATCGTAAAAAAAATAGCCACGAAAAAGTCACGAAAGATCGTAAGATTGATATACCGTAACGTGAAAGTAGACGTTTGAAAATTTTTTCGATAATCAAGTTTTGGTTGGTTTTCAGAGGTATTCACAACATCACCTCTATATTTGTGGATCCGAGGATAACGTTCATAAAAAGGTTGGTAATAAAACCTCTGCATTGTCCGGGGGAGACGTAATGGTTTCAGCTTTCGAGTTTCGCAGCTTTTTTCCTCGGTAATAACATCCCCCTCCGAAGGAAAGGTTTGATGGCGAAGTTTAAGGATGATCGACGAGAGAGCGGAAAATTAGCGACAAGGCTATGGCTTTCTTGGAATGAGACGTTAAGCCGGCTTTGGATCGCGAGCTTGCGTGCGAACCACTTAAAACCTTGGTGAATTATTTTACGGTTCGGTGATCAATAAGCATGATTATGATGGAGCTTGGCGAATTGAAAAGATTAGGCTCGAATGGAGATTAAAGAACTGCTTCCTTGTGCACGATTGAAACGAGAATTATCATTACCAAAACTGAATTTTTTGTCGAGGTGTTGTTGTTTGATAAATCATAAAACAATCATGTAATCACGGTTCAGACAATAAATCCACACAGATTTTCTTGTCACTCTGTCACAAAATTTAAACTATTAGAAAAATTATATTATGCATGTAAGAGCGAAAACTATTATTAGAACGTCACACGAATATACTAATTAGTTACGGGAGTAATATATAACATTTCCAATTCTAATTGACGTGATTTGTAACTCTCGTTCGACACTCGAATTAACAACGACCGAGCTAACTTGACCGAGAAACCTGTGTCAATGAAAACAAAATGCCAGAGACAGGAAAATATTTCGAACAAGACAGTCAAGAGCAGGATCTGCGAAAAGTCTTTCAAATCTCTAAAGGCACAACGCTTGTAAATGTACGAAAACTCCTGTTCGAAATAATCGTGCAAGTACGTCCGCGAAACATCAACAAAAACAATCTCGCGCTCCTGGAAACTACGTTTCCAGGAATCACGAACAACATACACAAAATTTTGCGTAAGCAGTGAAATAGAGGTGAAAATCGCGGCTGGCCCTCGAGCCACGTCGTAATTTGCTCGACACGTGTTCGCGGTCCACTCGAGCGATATGAGAAAGATACTTACCGACTTGTACGTGCAAGCTGCTTCTACGTACGAGGAAACGAGGCTCGTCAGCGTCGTCGTGTCCAGGAATCTCAGGAGAAATCAGCTTCGAGGCACGAAGTCGGCTCGCTCCAGACGAGTCGTCGTTCTTCCCTGGTCGGCATGAACGCTCACTGCCGGACAAATCGGGACGGCTCGCGAGAAGAAAAATCAAGCTCGGAGAGGAGAGGAGAGGAGAGGAGAGACGCGAGCTTTCTCTACGACGGGACGACGACCGTGGAACAGAGAATGGAGTCACGTGTCGCGGAAGAACGAGAGGATGCGCGACGCGGAGTCGAGAGGAACGAGGAGGCACGCGAGCACGCGTGTACAAGCTCGTGGAATGCTCGCGGTGTACTACTGCGCCGAAACCACCCCGAACGACTGCCGGGCTGCTGTCGCTGCTGCTGCTGCTTGCCGTCCTACGAGACCCCACCTCGCCGCCAGCCGTCGCTGCGAGCCCCACTACCGCTACCCTAACGCCGTGAGCGGTGAGTCGAGAGAAAAATGGGTGGAAAAGTTGTACGGTGTATGATCGGACGATTATTGGACCGGTGGCCTGTTGTCAAAGTCTGAAAGGGACGTTTTTCATTCTGTTTACACTCGTCGACGACTTCTACCCCCTCCCGAGAAGTGGTGGCTTTCTGAGGAGATAGACGAGAGCGAGAAAGAGATGGAAACTGACAATTGATTCGCGCGACATTGGAAATTTTGTGAATTTCGCGTGTGAATGTTTCTCAGATGTAGAATGGAACGACGTACTATACTACTGTTTGAAATAAAAGTAAAATAACGTGTAGCGATTACTCTTGCCTTCCCTTTTAAAACAATTGACTATCGTAAAGTATTGAAAATATGACAGAATCTTACAAAGTTCGCTGTTAAATTATTTTAAATACAATAATAGAATTCTATTGACACGAAATATCATTATGCTCTGCGAAGCTTGATGTTCTAGAAAAGTTTCTGAAAATTGAAACGAGGATTATTTTAATTTCCGGGAAAGTTAGGAAACTTATTAACGACGGGAGAAGTACACGAGTGGGTGGAAAATGAGTGGGAGAACGCGGCAGAGTTATTAATGTGCAAAAATATACAGCACGTACTATGCAATATACAAGAAGTAAAGTACTCGTTATAGTCGTTAGAGGATGAAAGAAATTTCTATTTAAGTTTCATTCCCTTAAAACGTGAAAAATCTAAATTTGCATGACAGCATTCACGATTTACTGGTAACGCGATGAAGTAGCAGCAGCGTTGCACGTTCTTACTTCCAAAGATCGGTTTTATCGCAAAATTCCATTCGCGTTCGGCGAAACTGCAACCGTGGAATTGTTAAACCAGCCCCGGCAGCGTGAAAACTTTTCATAATTTAATGTTCACCGCTAATTTTAACGGTTTCTTAATTGGCTTTAAATATCGCGTTGTTTAACGCAGACGCGGTTTCTCGTGTTTCGCCGGTGTGTATATCCACATTTATTCTCGGTGAGATTTACCTGTAGAATCTTCGCGTAACTTCAACTTCTGCGAAATGGGCGGTGTTCGCGGGCGAGAATGAAAATATACGTAACGTTTAACGACGTCGAGAATATTCGATGATACAAAGGCGGGGGAATAAATCATTGATTGATCAACGAGTCAACCGTTGTCCGGTATTTTTGACTCGCGGGAATAAATCGAACTCGCGTGACAAAACGACGAGACACGCGCGACCATTCGAAAAAATGTAAATATCGCGGCGTTTCGCGAGAACTTCGTTCTGTTCGACTGGCGAGTTCGTATTTAAAAGATAAATGGACCCTTTGAATAACCGAGCGACTCCACTTCCTCGCGATCTCGTTCTCGCGAAACGATATTGTTTGCGCGGCGATTTTCGCAACGGGAGCTACTTACATCTCACTACTTGGCTCGCAAACGTGAGACGCAATGAAAGCCCGGTTGAATTATTCCGGAGATTGGTATCAGTCGCGACGTAAAGCTACGTGATCGTGTTTCGAGAGACGCGTTTCGAGACGAAAGAGAAAGGAAATATAAATTGCCCGGATACACACGGCTTCCCCTATACTCGCGGATAAGGCGCAGAAATTCTGGTAATGAATCTTTCTTACCGGGATGGAAAACAGAGATGCGCGGGGGATAGGGATATTTATTTCATCACCGTATGGTTCGCGGTGGTTAATTAAAGATGAAAAAGGGAAAGAGAAAAATTTACCTCGTAATCTCAGGCCAGGAAATTAAAATCGATCTTTCGTTCTTAGCGACTCGTAATTTTTTCAACGGTTGTTAGATATACTTGACCTAATTAGCTGTACATCGCAGTGTTTTCAAATATGTAAAGAGTGTCTTGACAACCTGGGAAGTATCAAAATTTTATATATTACGCGGTTGGTTGTCATTCCCCAGGCTGGCTATTTCACTCTCAGCATAAGCAGGAACAAACGTAAGTAATGACTCCGTTTTCTTCCCTTTTCGTTCGCACTTAATCCTCATTCCCTTTGCGTTCGCACCTATTCCTCATTCCCTGTTCCTTCTATCCCGATCTATTTCCAGTCATCCGTTTGTTTCTACCCTTTCTCACGTAAAGATTTAGCTTGGCGCGTAATAGCCACTCTTCGTAACGTGTTTGTCGAGAACAATTGTTAAAAAAATCTCGCGCGTAACATCGGGGAAAAAACCACAACCTCCATGAGATTATCATTCAGAGAGTTCTTCGTTAGAAAGCGGTGAAAACCAATTGAAGAATACAGGATGAGCTAATTAAAATAAATCCGCGATCGCAGATACATGTCAGGAACAAACGCCTTTCGTGTTGATCGTTAATTTGAAATTACATTTTATTCGTTCTATGTGTGTGTATGTGTGTGTGTTTTTCGCTCTTTTCGGACAAAGGACCGGTGTGAAAGGGTTGAACGATTCCCGCGACTGAATTCTCGCAGCTATGAGGGAAGAAAGGGAGGCAAAATTGAAAGAGGTGAAAAGCGAGCTGCAATCAGTAAAACGGCAAGTACAACAATTCCGCCGGAAAATGTACTCACCGAGGCAGCGACGATTCATGGCAAAACAAACGCGAGCGCGGAAAATGTCGACGAAAATAAAAGGACGTTCGCCATTTTCAGAGCGTTTTTCCGAGTAACTTCCCCGGTAAGCGGTTCTCTTCAATAATTTACACCGGTCGGCCGTTGTTTGCCGCAATCTCCCCGTGTAACAATAGTGTAAAACCAGGCTCCGGTTGCCTGGCCGGCCCCTCTCCACCCTCTGTCACGCTCTCGCCAGCGGAGTGTAGGCGAGAAATTTAAGTCGGGATTCTCCGCTACTACTTATGCGCCGCAAGGACAACGCGAAGAGCAGCCGAAAGCCTCCCCGTAATATATTTTCAGACCTCTCGTTCCACGGATCCACCTTCCGCTCGTCCGACACCCCGCCACATCTTCGCAAACATTTGCACCGGAGGACAAAACGAATTCGACTTAACGCCGTCGCCGAGAAAATGGAAGCATCATTGTTTCTTTACATCTTTCATTTTCTTTTCTTTTTTTTTTTTTTTTTCTTTTCTCTTCGATTTCTAGACTTTCGTTCGTTTTCGTCGATACTTCCGGTGAGACATAATTTCGCGAATCTCTTCTCTCGTTCCTCTCTCTTTCGCGTCACCGCGCGAAAGTTTCACGATGTACCGTGGGACACGTGTTTTCGCGATGTTGTTCCTCCATCTTTTTTATTCCGACTCGCGTTGAAAAATAATGGTTTTTCAGTGGAGGAGAAATTCAGCATTCCAGTTGTTTTCAGCATGTCGGATTTTGCAGGTTTTCTTTTCTTTTTCTGTAAAATAATGCCAGCGTGTTTTAGCTAGTATATTAAAAAAACATAAATATACTAATGTATTATGTTAATATATTTACAATATATTTACAACATAATACGATTAATATATTGAAGTAAATATATTAATATACTATATATTAGTGAAAGTATGAAAAAAGTTGTAGAAACTTAAATTTGTGAATAACGTGACTAGTAAAAATTTATAAGCAAGAAATTTGTTTCTTCTATTAAATATCGTAATGAGTTTATTTATCTTGACTATATTAATATATATTAATAAGTGTCATATAATGATTATATTAATATTAATATATATGATATGACACTGATATAATTAAGTTAATTTTTAGATCGAGATTAAATATAAAATTTTTACTTAATTTCCGTTGTTTTCAGCATGTCGGATTTTGCAAGTTTTCTTTTCTTTTTCTATAAAATAATGCCAGCGTGTTTTAGCTAGTATATTAAAAAAAACATAAATATACTAATGTATTATGTTAATATATTTACAATATATTTACAACATAATACGATTAATATATTGAAATAAATATATTAATATACTATATATTAGTGAAAGTATGAAAAAAGTTGTATGAGTTTATTTATCTTGACTATATTAATATATATTAAGTGTCATATCATATTAAATTAATTTTTAGGTCGAGATTAAATATGAAATTTTTACTTCTTATTTTAAATTAAAACTAAGAATTAAAACTTCTTGTTTTAAATTAGAACTGACAATAAAAAGGAGACATTTTATTGTTAATAAAATTATCGAATAAAATTCTGATTTATTACATATATCGAAATAATAAGAATAAAGATTTTAACTTTAAAATTAGATCCAAAATTACCTTTATTTCTAACAAATAATAAATAGAAATGTAGCTTGAAGAAAACATTACACTCTATATATATATTTTATATTCCCTATTTTATATTTCCTATTTTCTATTTTACATGTATTTTGTACTTTCTTCTTCTTTTATTTTTTATATTTTATATTTTCTGTTTTTTAATTTACATTTTATATTTTTTACGATACTTTGCGATACATAGCTTTGTATATTCGCGTGCGTTCTATTATTTTTTTTTTAAATAAAGTCGCATAAAAATCCGCAGTAATAATTTTCTTGCAATAAACCTAAAACTCGGTTGCACCACAATTACAGAAACATTCTATATACGGGGTGTCTCATGAGGAAACCAAATAACTTTACCAGTGTGTTCGACAGCTCATTCTGAATATAAAAAAAAGTAGATTCACCTGTCTTTAATTAATTTCAAAAAACAGATCTCTCAATCGAAAAAAGAGAAACAACTTTTTTATTTTTCATATACCTTTTACATACATTTACGTTTTTACGTACAGAGTAACCACTTGCGCTGGGCAACTGATTGCGGACCATAACGAGTGACCAAACCGTATACAGTAATTCGTCGCCTCTTTTTTTTAAACTTGTTGGTATGACAACACTGGATAGAAATTATTGAGAAGTAGTAAATTTGTTATTTCTTTTGCCTGGATCATACTTAAATATACCTAAATATA